CGAATACAGTGTCATAGTTTTGTTTTCACAATCGAGAGCTTGCGAATTATCTGCCGTCATTCGTTAATATCTGGTTTCTGGTGTTAGGAAGGTGGCAGCAGTACTTATTGGCAAGCAACATCATTTCACTAGTCCCTTATAAAAGAACACTTAATTTGATTTTAAAATTCAGTTTTAATTCTATTTAATTTTGCATGTATTTAGATTCGTTTTATTCCCCAAAATCAGAAGTACTACAAATATGACGAAACCAAATGCAACAAATTTTATCAGTCAAAATTATGCAAGCCCACCAGCGGCCGAGCGGTAAAGTCGCTGAACACTAGTAGTTCGGTCCGAGGTTCGAATCCCGCGAACGGGTTGACTGCATGGGTGTTTTTCCCATGTGTAACGTGTATACGAGTCAGTTTCCTTTAGAAAGTCCTCCACGAAGGCATCCCTCCCCTTACGCAGATAGCCCTCGAGGCTTTGCCGTAATTAACCTAACCAAAATTATGCAAAATGACCATACATGTGCCTGCTTAAAGATATCAAAATCGGATTTCATTTTAGCATCCTGAATTATCATGCCATTTTCTGAATTTAAAAATGAGTACTTAAGTTTAAGTACTTCTCGAGAAAAATATTTTTTTTTAATATCCCCGAGATTAAAATGCCAAAGTTCGACTTTTCATTGACCCAAATACAAAAAGAAATCTAAATGGACTTGAAATCGAAACACAAAACTCTTCTGTGCTTGCTAGAGCTCTTTCCATGTGAGCTATTCCGAAGTTTCAGATAACTTACGTTTGATCAGGAAACTTCTAAAATTTGACCCTGTCTAATTGATGCGTCTGCGACATAACAGCGTGCATCTATCACAATGTGAATAAATAAAAATGCAAAGGTATATAAAACAGTTTTAAATGCTTAATTTTCTTTGAAACATCGCTTTCAACTTAACTGCCCGTCATTATCTCGGCCGACAGGTAGAGTCGCTGTACACTGTTAGCTCTGTCCGGGCTTTGAATCCCTTTGAATTGGCAGGTTGCATGGGCGTTTTTGTGGCTTTCCTTATGTGTAACGTGTATATTAGTCGGCTTTCCCTAGAAAGTCGTCCTTCTCCTTAAATAGATAGCCCTAATGGGCCTTGTCATAATAAAATACTTTCTTGTCTTTCTCACTATCCATGGTCTGTTTTGAATAGAGTACTTAATCTGTCTCCGATGTACTATCAACATTTCATATAATGGAAATAATGTTTTTGACCCAAATGTTGGTTCTCATTTATAGACTTGAAAATATTTTATTTGAAAATTGTTCTAAAGTAGGTGTTATTTTATTTATCATTTGATATATTGAAGTACATAAAACCCATTAATATGCTGTTGAATATCCGTTTTTTGCATCAAAACCTGCTAATTTTCTTATAAATTGAAGACGAAAATAGACTTATAGAAATCGCGTAATATCACGTAATTTGGCATGTGCTAAAAACCTAACGCTAAGCAAAATCTGAATTTTGCCATTTCATATTTTACTCTGTAGTTTTCGTTTTCATTTGAAATCTAGTGCTTAAATTATATTTTTATACTTCAGTTTTATTTTAACCTTTTCAGAGACGGAATTCATGCAAGTGCCAAAAATGCTATTTTAATTTGTTTGATTCCGTTTTATATCACATCGACAGCAATTAAGGGGGGGAATGTAAAAACAATAAATACACTGAAAAAATGTCCACAAAAATGTAGCGTTAGAACAGTTAGGGTTGAATTAGGTTAATTGAAGGTTAGCGGCAAATTATGAAAGATTTCATACCTTCAGAGCATACAGATTCTCCATTTTTCGCAGATGTAGAGCGTTTGCCTTGCACAATGTTTGTCATGATATCTTGGACGATTTCGGAATTCCATTTTTTTAACAGTGAGCTCCTGTGAAAGCTTAGTTTGATTATAGGAGATTATCGTATAGAATAAAATCTTAACTGTGCCCTATGCGACGAGTTTTTGTTTTCATATTCAAGGGATTCTGTAGTGAGTAGTCTCTCATTTCTTTCACTTGGGTATTATTTAAAAGAAAACTTGCGCAATATTTTAAACTTATACAATGAAGAGGTTGAAGAATCTTCAATCAATGTTTTAATCGCATAGGACAGTTGAAGTTGGGTTTCTTTAATCCTTTGACTGCTAACTGCTCTAAGTCAAGGCTCTCATTCTTTAGCCCTGGCTGTAAGTTGAAGTGCTCCGCTTGCATGGGGGTGAGAATGAAAGGGGCCAACCCCGCACTACGAGTGAAGCACTGCTCCCAGGCTTCTGTCTCCAGATGCTGTGTTTTTTGTTTACATTTAGAAGCTCATTCGACAGCGCTTTGATAGTATTTCGACACATGACAGTTCCATACAAATAAAAAAACCGGACACTTCCGCCTGAAAGAAACATTGTGTGATGGATAATAGCAATGTGTATAGTTTAGTGACATTTATGCAAAAGGCAAATCTTGGTTATTTTTTCGATAACTAACAGCGATTTTGATCATGAATTTGTTTTATAAAATTCTAAGCTGTTGAACTACAATAATATAGATTTTAGCAAAAATGTTATGCTTAAAAGAATAAACAATTTTACGATACCTTTAAAATTGTACATAAGTCTTTAGATACCCCTGATAGAGTATTTGCTACTTTTTTTTTTATGTTCCAAAAACCGAAATGTTTTAAATATAATTTTTGTCATCGATATATTATTGTAACATGTACATTTTAAAAATTTTTAGAGAAGAGGCTGAATAGTTGTTCATTTTAAACTCATTTTATTTTTTATATAACTAAAAATAAATCACTTTGGGTTAACTAAAAAATAAAATTACCACCAAATGTTGGAATCCTCGTCAAAATTAATAAATATACAGACAGATATGCCAGTAAGTTAACTTTTCTTGATTTGTAACCTTACAGTTGTGTAAAATTAAGTACAAATTTACATAAACGTAATGAACAGAAAACATTTGCGAATTCGGCGGAAGTACCATGTGCGGTCAAGATGAAGTGACCATGTGAATGTGGCACATCATCAAGACAGCTTATTACGAATTTGAAAATAGGGTAATCGACGGAGGTGAAAACTTTGTGTACCCTGTCAAAATATATCTGTGCTCTGCCAGAATAAATTTACTATAAGATTTGAATTTGGTAATGAATGCGTCCTAAAACGCGTTTTAAATCGAAAGTTGAAACTGGATGGCTATAAATGTAAATATAAAATTATGCATGTTAAAATATTTGTAATTAGTCGCATAGGCTAAGTTTTTATTCAATAGATTAAAGCATGCAAGGGCTTTATGCCTAAAGGGAAATGCCATCGTGGAGGAATTTCGAAGATAAACTGACCTTTGAGCGGATATTAAGAATAATGCATGTAATTTTCATTTAAATTATATTTATATATATTTCTTATGTAAAAATGTTTGGTATATGCTAAATTATAGTAAATTACTTGACCCGAAAAATGTAGTGAATGGACAGAAATTAGATTTGCACACGCCGAAGATGAAAGATGAAATATGTATGCATATTTATTGCAGAGCTTACTTATTCTGTATCTCCTTTATTAAATTTTATAAATTTTTTAATGTATTTTTATATATTATCCCTATTATCTCTAGTTTAATTGAACAAAATTTTTTTCTAAATTCTTATTTTAAAATATTAAAGTTTTTAAATTCTTTTTTGTTTTAAAAGACATAGTTTTAACGAATGGTATTTCTGGTATTTGTTTTTATTGTAAGAAATTCAAGAGATTTTTAGAAATATTAAAATTTTACTATTTTGTTTGCAAATTTAAAATTTAATTATTAACCCGGTGCATTTTCTAAATAAGTACGGTGCTCTAAAATATATCTGTAATTGTTGACAAATAATAAAACTAAAAAGACTGGAAAATTGGCTTCTATATGCTCGATATTTACATATGCATTTAACCGGTTGCAGTATGCAGTAGTGCTCTAATCTGAAGTGGACCGAATAGAGCATTAATTATAAATTTACTCGGATTTTCGATTTAAAAGATGCCTCGGAAGCTAAAAAATCATGCCATATTTGAGAAAGCTTTTTAGGAAGATGCTCTGTAAATAGAAAAAAAAAATGCGTAATTTTAATATTAATAATGCAATAAACTTTGATCTTAATTTTTGTAATCCTTAACCGAATAAAATCGGATTACCTTAATTTTTTTCTAATGTAATTAACGAAAACTTGTGAAAATATTTCATTCAAATTAAACCATTCTGAGCAAAGTGTTCTGTGAAAAGTACAGCATTTAATTCCGTTCAGAATGAAATGTTGTTTAAAAATGTTTTCTTTTCACATACTTAGGAACTCTGAAGTATTGTAAAAAAAGAAAAATTATATACATTTAAATGTATATTTACGTCTTAATTACGAAATGTTTATATACGATCGTGTCAAAACTCATTGACCTTAATGGTAAGTCACTGAAAGTTGGTCTCCACCAAGAGATCGCCAGTGCTGAAAAGCAATGAACGGGAAAACAGGTTAGGGCCTCTCCTCTTACTTCCTACCTCCATGTTCGCTTGAGCGACGTGCATCTGCAGAATGACCAAATAAACGAGATTTAATTTTTCCTCGATGCTAAGCAACGTAAGAGATACGAGGTTTCTGCGAGTTTTGAACATGTACAATAGAACTAATTTCCGAACACACATGTGGGAGACAGTATTAAACAGCCAAAACCTTCACCGAGCGCGCATTTGCGTCCATTGACTACATATGCACCTATACGCTATCACCGATGGTTTTTGCTGAACGCATACATGCGCCTATAGCAGTCAAAGGGTTAAGTTATTTTGCTCTTAGTTAAACTATATTGCAGGAATTGGTCACCTGCTCGAAAATCATAAAGCACAGATTTAAATGATTAAACTTTGTTTTTAGCATAAACTCCATTTTTGTGCTAAATGCATTGCAAATGATCCACAAATGACTAAAATATTTTTCTCTATTCCAGTGAAGACGAGAAACACTGGCAAAAGCTCGCCATCGAAGTCTGCAAAAGATTCCGGAGGTTCAAATGCTGAAAAATTACTGAAGCAACCGCAACAAGTAAGGCTACTTTTTATGCAAATTGTGAAACCCTGAATCTTCCATTTGACCGCGAATGTAATATTGCCATTTGACCTCCATTTGATTGCAAGAGGTATGCTTAGACTGTATGAATGCTGATGCAACAAACTTAAATGTGCAGTTCTTTGGGTCGAATTATCTGGCGTTTGATATCGCAGAAGTTTTTAATTTTGGAGATACTGTCTATTCATGCAAATAAAAATAAGTTTCAAAGTATAAGTTTAATTTTTTTAAATCCATTTATTCCGTTCAATAATTACATTTAGTAAATTGCAATGGCAGCAGTTTCCCATGGCTAGAAAAGATTTGAAATGATTTGAAATAAAAGGTAAACTCAGAATGGAAATTCCATCACCTTTTATGAACACTCACAATCCGAAACTAGGCAACACTGATTTTAAATTTCTTTTGACCATTGATTTATTACGAGGAATCATCAGATGGTTACTTTCTTAAGGAAACTAATGCGTTTGTGGAGGATTTTGTGAGTGAAATTGGCTTCTATTCACATTACCATACCATAAGAGAAAAGTACAAAAACGCACATGCAGCCAGGTCAACAACCAGCGGTCTCGGCCACTGATTAGTCAAACGATTGGGTAGGAAATGTTATGGGATATTTGCTGTTCCTATGAAACTAAGATATTTTTTTTGGCAGGGAAGGTTTCAAACTGAGTCATTCAAGTAGGATGTAACTACAGGAAAATAAACTCATGGGAGAAGGAATATTGCAGTGGTACTTATCCTCACTTATTATTGTATAGGCTTAAATGTTTCTTGTTACGCAGTAAAAGAAAAGGGTTAAAGCATGAACGTGACGAAATATATTGTGCTACTAAAGAGAAAGTTATGAATCTAGAAAAGATGCTTATAAAATTGAAAGCGTAAATTATTAGCGTTTCCTGGTTAAATAACTTTTAAATTCTCTTTTTAATTCATATTCTTAAAGACAACTTTTATACAGAAGGTAGTCTGGATAGTTTAATAATATTCTGTGAATGGTTTCTGACGACTATTAAAATAAACGCAATCGTTTATTATGGACGATTAAGCCATATGCAGACATTTTCTTCCCTCTCCCCATAAGTCTTGCTATGCATGGTAGAGTGTGCATCGACCTTGTGTTTTGTGAGAAAAGAATGTCCTTGAATCGTTCTTTTGATTTCTTGAAATTTTAGTACCAGATTAATGCTTTGGCTTTCGAGGAGTCTTTCTTTTTTAAGCATTTGGAGAACTGTTGGCAATTATTCGTGATGGTAAAATATTTCAGTACAGTTAACTATAACAGCATTTATTTTGCACCATTTTTTTCATAAAAACCTCAGTCGTTATCTGGCAATAATCTTTTGAGAACTAAGAGAAACTGATTCTGTATTGAATTATCTAAAAGTATTATATATTGCATTTTAAATTTGATGAGAAAATCGGTATTCCTTATTACAGAATAAAATAACGTCAGTGAATATGAGTAAATAATCGGAGTAATTGAATTTAACTACGCCTGGGTAGGGGAACTCCAATTCCATGCGTATTGTGTTAAGAAAAAGTCACTTTCACGTATTCCCTTTAATTAGTTGAGCTCTGTAATGCATATTTTTAAACTTCGTATGTAAAAATTACTTAACGATAAATACTATATAAAAGAAGCATTACAGTGTCGTTTTAGTTTTATATCCAAGCATTAATTAAAAATTAAAGAAGCAAGGTCAGTTACATTAAAAAGCAGAGAAAAACCTGATTTTACAAAGACCGTGCAGTTGTCAAATACATATCGAGAACTGAAAAAATACAAGCTTCATGCAAAACATGTGAAAGTCACACTTTCCTTAAATTTGAAGTAGTTATGATTTGCCAAGAATTGATTTACAGTGCTGTTTTAGAAACATAAAAGTCGTCTTTCTACCTTTAACGGTGATGAAAATATTTGATTTTTCTTCAGCGATTGTTAAGTGAATGCAATCTGCCAAGCAAATCAGATAGAACGCCTAAAAGATTTTTTACAGTAAAGCACTGGGTTAGCAATACATTAAAATAGGTAAACCGACCTATGATTGTATATGATTATATTTCTGGTTAAAAGTAGTTTAGGTAATCTTTGAAGTAGAAGCAAATTTTCTTATTTATATAAAATTTCTACTCCATAAAAATTGCTACCTCATAACGAATATTTGTAACTATTCAAACTGTAAATGGAAGTGGAAGGTGCTGAAACCGTTCATTTGACAAATGTAGTAATACTCAAGTTCACGTGCTAATTCTCTGCTTAATGGACGAAAAAGTGGGACAAAGTTACTTCTACAAATGTAAGGCTAAAGCATGAAAGGTTAAGTTGGACAACTGATTTTCATCTCCCCAGAAAATACTCAACAAAATTTTAATATAAAAACGAATTAAAATTTGACACTTTTATACGATATATTATCACGAATAAATAATATGCGTTATAATTTTTCCAAAATGTATCGTTTTAACAGTGAGAATGTTTCAAGTTTAAAAAATTCTGTTTTGAAGTATGAACTAAGATTTTTGTAATCATTTAGAATCTTCTCATAGCAAGCAAGCATACTTTTATTCTCAAGTTATTACTACCTTTTGTTTCGAATAAATACCTTCAGGGTATTTCATTCCGGTTTGAAGAAGATTTCGCTAAAATAGTCAGTTTCTTTCTTTTTCTGTTGGCTTAGGGGCAAAATTTCTCACTTGCTTCATGAATGCTTTAGTTCCAAAATTTCGCAATATCGTTAATCGTGAGCCCTTGACTGAGATTCTACATTGTCAGCATCGTTTTTCAAATTAAGTTCTCTTTCCATATCGGTGATTTCGATAATTAAGAGAAACGGGATCGTCCTTCCTATTGGCTACTGAATTCGTAGTTTTTAGAGGAAAAGATTCTTTCAAACTCCTTTCATTAATACTATACGCAAGATACTGAAGTGTTTCCATACGTCCTTCACTTTTAAAGTCATTTTACGACTGCTTTCCAAAGTGGCTAAAAAACTAATGGAAGCTTTCACGTTTTAGTTTGTTCATTAGTTGAAAGAGCCTTCATTAGTTGCCTTGCATTTCAGAACCAATCTTCAAGGTAAGCAGCAGATTTTACATAATGCTACACATTGAAGTATATTTTGAAATCGTATGCTCGTTTCTTTTCAGTAGGGTTAAAAGAGTTGGAAATATCTCTACTTCTGCTTCTTTCAGAAGAACTTACCTCAAAATTGAGAGAAGTTTCCATACGAGGGTACAAAACAAGAAATATTTATCTTCAGTTTGGGTCACTGACCAGTGGCCGAGTAATGAAAAACCGCTGAACGCTTGTAGTTTCGAGATTCAAAGAATCCCACTAAATGGGCTGGCTGCATGGCTTGTTTCTTGTGGTCTTCGATATGCGTACGGTAAAAATGTTAGTTTCAAACGGAATGTTGTACACGATGTTATTCCATCCCATAGGCAGATAACTCTTGTGTGCTTTGTTAAATTCAAATAAACAAACCTGTAGCATGTAGGTGTGAGGTGACATATGTCCATGCAACTAAAGTGGAATTCTCGCTTACATCTCTGACTGCTACGTATCACCCATGCGCGAAGACTGAATGGATGAAACACAATTCGGCAAAAACAAGCGTGTTATGCGTTGTCCCAATAGCTATTCTTGGAAAATAGTTACAAAAAGGATTATGAAGGTAAGATTTTGAACGTTGTATATATATATATATATACACCGTTCCAAATTTTGATTAGCTTTAAAATCAGAAGTGCTTTAAATTTGGCAGAGCAAGGTTACGTTTTTGGAGCTAGTAGGTCAGATGGTAAAACAACCAGACCTTTTATCTTTTTAAATCACTGTTTCTGAACAGTTAATATAGTAGCTGCTTTTGCAGAGTATTTTTGCGGTTAATTTTCGATGAACCTCTAGAACATGCTTGAAACGGATGTACTTGTATTCTCTAAAAATAAAATGTGTATTTAGCTTACTTCTACTATTACACTGAAATGCGTAATATGTTGCCTGAGGCTTTGAGTTTTTAGCTGATTCCCTCTCCCCCTCTCGGTATAAAATCAAATCTTTGTTTATAATAATACTTAAATAATTTTCATAAAATAATTTGAGACAACATAATTAGAGGCCAATGGAAAGCCTTTTAAAGGCATGTATGCAGTTGATTGTTGGTAAATGATTGATATGGAGTTCTGAAAATGGATTACTTTTCCATGACACAGCAAACCCGCTTACAATGCAATCGTAAGGACGGTGGCGGAGAGCTCTTTATCAGTCGATATTAAAAAAAGCAGCATAAGACAAATATGGAAACATTATTTTATAAAATCCTTTAATTTCTAATTATCCAAGAATCGAGAGAAACTTGCATAGTAATAGCTGCTAATTATCGTTCAAGTTTGCTACAAATTTTTGAAGAAATTAGTACGAAATTTTGAGGAATGAATGAGTTTTTAAACTCTAATTTTTGTAATTTAAAAAGTTAGCAATGAACATCATCCAACAGAGAATGAAACATTTTATAGTTTTCCTCGGAATGGTCGATGAGTGATCTGGAATAGTGATACAAACTGAAAGCAGTTTTAATTGTGTTCTTCAAATTGGTTGCTCATGTTAAAAAATAGTTTTGGTATGGGAACGTTTTGGGTGGAGGAAGCCCCCAGTATGACAGTTTATTGCAAAGCTGTCGGACCTCTCGATTTTTAATATCGACTGGTCACTTAATAGTTTCGTTTTACTCATTTTTAATTTACCTGAATTCAGTTCACCCTCTTTCAGCTGCAGCTGTATAAAAATTGTTGATCACTACGTGTTAAACGAAATGCTACTGAAAATTTTGATGGCAAATTTTTAAAAAATTCCAAAGCAACAATGATCTTTTAAAATCATGCAAATCGAACCATTCTCCTACCGATTTTCAGGCAGACTAACATAAGTGAATTGTAAGCGAACCTGAATAACACAAGCAACTCCTATGAATGTG